GAAACTTATATGGTAGTTACATAGCACCTAGACCTCAGTTATCATGAAAAAAGCCAGGAAATTTCAGTTTTGACAATATGGGACCTTTAAGGGTCAGGCCAGGCTGAAATAACAGTTTTCACTTTTTATAGTGCACTGCAATACAACCCTTGTCTTTAGGAATGAAACAATAATGAATACTCACATAATCCCATTAATAATTGCGTACGGAAAGATTTTGCTTGCTTCCTTATTTTGTATTTTAGTGACATCTGTTAATGTTTTTTTTTTTTTTTTTTACCCCACTTTGCATGACAAAGTAACATGCAAACAAAGCAGGAATAAAGGCATGGCAAAAAACAACTCTAGACTCTTCAGAACTGCTTATTTGAACATTTCAAATAAATAAACTGTTAAATATTACATTGAAAACGAAAAATCATCCTTTCTTTTAATGAAAGAAAATGAACGCATGATGTCAATGCAGACATTGTTACATAACATGAGGAAAGAAAGAAAGAAAGAAAGCAAGCAAGAAAGAAAATGCACTTTCAATAATTCACTCACCCTCTCTGCAGAATCTTCACACACTCATATGGTTTGTGTGTGATGATAAAGAGAAGCGGATGAGAGGCTCATACTGTCTTATACACTCACTCTTCATCACTTGTACTTCTGATGAATTCCGAACAGATCATTCGAGCGCCACCGGCCAATCAGGGCGCGACTCTGCGCCAGTCTCGCGAACGAGCAGCCAATAGGAAGAGAGAGAGAACTTTGGAAAGGAGGGGAGAGCGCGGAGATAAAGAAGAGTTACTCAGGTTCGAGTCCCACATTAGCACATCCAGCCGGCAAAGTGCAGTCATGCTGAAACATTATCAGTCATCTTAACAGAAATAGAATGTAAAACTGCTACATTAGAAACCTGTTCATTGTTTATAAGTCATTTAACTTAGCATACACAGTGAAAATGTGTAATAATTAATGCAGTGACCTAAATTAGTTTGAACGGGACAATGCATGAGGCATCTCACTCTAGAATAGGCCTACTGTAAAAAAATGTTTTTGGCAATAAAAAGTTGCAAAGTTCCTTGTAACTTGAAAATATAGATTTAAAAAGACTACTTGGATGTGTGGAAAAAAACGTCTCAGGTTACTTATGTAACCATGGTTCCCTGAGTAGGGAACGAGACACTGCGTCCTCTAGGGGTCGCTATGGGGAACGCCTCGTCGTGACCCGTGTCTGAAGCATACATTGAAAAAACACCACCCCTAGAGGACGCAGTTCAAAGTTCCCATGAAAGGGAACTATACACTATAGTAGTCTACATTTTACCAATTCAGTTGTTTAAATATGAATTCTTTATGCACATTATTTAGCACAGTTCCAGCATTTCACGTGGCATAGGCACAGATTGGTGACTGATATGACTGTTAAACATTTCAAATGAAAAAAAGAAGAACTTTGGACTTTTCCGAGCAAAAGAAAAAAGACTTTTTCTGAACCTGTTTATGTTCTACAGCTGCATTTTACCATCCTTCACAAATTGTATTAACATCTATGAATGATTTATTATCTGATAAAGCTTACAGTAAAATTAGATAAGATAATTACATGCTCATACATGCTAATTCGCAGATACAGAGATGCATAAAAGAACATTCTGCAGCTGCAGCATTACTTTCCTTTTAATTCAGGTCTTTTTTTTAATTCAATTTTAGCAGACTTAACTTTTCCAGCTATAGGCTACTTAAAAATGAAAAAATCTTTCTATACCTGTAAAAAATTATTTAATGTAGTTTATAGCCATATCTGGGTATCTGTGCATTTAAACAGAAATAGCATTATTTTCCCTTCTATTCAATAAACCTGTACATAATAAGGCGATACACGAATGTCATCTTGACCTGAAATGTTTCAAAAGCGCTGCAAAACCTTTGTCCTTCATTCTAAAAGGGGTTTAGACATTGCTTTCATTGGTCCTAAATGCAACATCATAAAAACAGTTGTAATGGTTACAGCCCTGGCCTTCACACATTCATAAAATCATGCAGGCAGAAGGAAGATATTTAGTGCAATTGTTCACTTTTAGGAAGTGTTTATCCACTTAAAACACAACAAAAGTGGCATTTAATATTGAATCAAAAGTTTACAAAGTAGTTTTCATCACAGTGTCTACATTCTAAAAAATGCTGGGTTAAATATAACCCAGCGCTGGGTTAAAAAGGGACAAACCCAGCTATTGGGTTGTTTTGACCCAGCGCTGGGTCAAAACAACCCAAATATTTAACCCAGCATTTTTTAGAGTGTATGAATAAACACACAACTTCTGATGGATTCATCAGGAACTACCAGTTTTGAGCTCCAATGAGTTGCATGGAAATCACTGTTGTCCAAAACTTACATTGTCCACCAATGAAAACCCCTGATCCCTAATACATGAAACATGGTTGTAAAGTAAATATAATGTATCAAACCCCATGATAATTAACCTTGCGAAGTCTAATAATGCACAACATCATAGAAGAATTGAAAATATGTGCATTAGTTAGAAAATGAATATGAAAACTTCATATGAGAATTGCCATCTCAAGCCAGGAATGAATGAAAATCTTAAGGCAGCTGGTCTAGACTGATTTCTGACTCGAATGTCGTCAGCCCTTGCTCACTCAGCATCAGGTTCAGAGTCTATGAAGTGAACTGGCCACTAGGGGGGTCTGTGCTGCTCTGACACCGTGGAACATCAAGGCTGAACTTTGATGCATTACAACACTTCAGCAGAAAAACAGCTATATAGGGCAGAGTGATTTAGACACTTATCAGTACGTGCAACACCACAAATCATAATATCTCTACATGACAAGAAATGTATTCTGACTTCATAATAACTTCATCAATAATAACAAACATTATATAATGCTTTACAGATCAATAGTTCATAGTATAGTATATTCAGTTTTGAAAAGGCCATGTATGACGTAGAAGCCGGTCCATGGAGTGGACTTCATTGAAATGTAGTTTTGAATGTTAATTTCAGAGCAGAAAAGCTGAGAGTGAATCATTTCACTATAATTAGCAGTTTGTTCAGCCTTCGTCTGTCTGTCCTCACAGTGCCACCTTTAAAATACTGTACATTTGTTTATTTATTCAGTGTAGATATTATGCAATTATGCACATTCTGAGCAGCACAGAAAGTTGTGTTGCAGTTAATTTGCTGACACCAACAATTTTACTTTGGATTTTGTGACTAGTTTATTTATTGCATTAAATAGCTTTTCTTTCTCTTCATGAGTTTGTTGCACTTTTCATAATAATTCATAATAGTATATCTCCTTTATATAAAGCATGTATGCTTTTATTATTAGGCCTATTACCGTATTATTATTATTTTAAAAATCTATTTTGTTTACATGTAAATAAATGTAAACAATAGAATATACATGTAAATAAATACAACAATTATATGTATTTTAATATATAAAGCATGAGATGTATACTTTTATTATTTAAAAAAAAAATCAATTTTGTTTACATGTAAATAAATGTAGACAATGGAATATACCTGTAATTAAATACACTAATTATATGTATTATAATATAGGCTATTAAATATTAGTTATTTAAAACCTTTATAAATTATAACTTTTTAAATAGCATATGTTTAATATTAATAAATATAATAAATATTTCATACAACTTATTTATTTATTTAATATTATTTAACAAATAGCCTACGTTTCCCCATTGCATAACGTGAACTTGGAATAGAGGAATTTGACCGCGTCTCTCTCTCTCTCTCTCTCTCTCTCTCTCTCT